GGCAAAATTGCTATTGGACCTTTAGCAATCATGACTTTCTTAGTAGCACTGCCCCTTGAATTTTTTTTTCCCTATGCTCACATAGCAACAACTGTGTTTACACGAGGAAATGTGAAATCCAGTCACAAAAGAGAAACAACTAAATATGATTAAAGAGCCAGAGTCACAATTGGATGTGGCGTTTAATAGCAAAGAGAGGCCAATCCACATGACGGGTAGTTCAAAATGGATAAACATGGTAGAATAAAAACTAAAAAAAACTTTGACAAAAAAAGAAAGAAAGATCCATGTATTTATATGCCTGGTGCGTCCCCTTTTCACACAGCCAAACTTATACGTATATTTAGAAAAAATGAAGAGGAAGAGGAGGTAATAGTAACACAGGACCTTTCCTCTATTAGCCTGTCATTGTCCTTGGAATTTCACAATTAGGATGACTTTTTATTTTTTTAATAAAGTGCCTTATAATATTTTAAAAAGTGGCAATATCTTAAAATACATAGTTTATGAAATGCTTTTATAAATTTATGTTATATAAAATCCACCTTGCCATGTCATAATAGATGGGTTTTTAAATGGCAGTTGGGTTTATTCTATTTTAAAGACCTTAGTTTTATGGATAAAGAGGCAACTCTGAAGAGTTGGCATGAACTAATTAATGTCAGTCATGGTGAAGAATTCCCAATTTTAGGCAGCTTTTGCCCAAGTGTTATGGCTACCTGATTCTAATGACACAGGGTCTTTTTTTCTATGTTACCTCATTTCTCTCATAAATAGAAAGTCAAGATCCTCCTTTTCAGGAATGTAAGGATTAAAAAAAAATTGATTTGAACCTATGGTCCATTCTGAACAGTCTTTTACAAGTATCAAGATTGTCTCTTGACATCATCCTCAAGGGATAGAGTAGGACGACTTTCTAATATGTAACAGTGACCTCTATAGTGAAGAATTCTGATGATCATTTGCTGAAGATTTAATTTTTTAACACCCCTTTCACTCCTATGTAAAACATGATGAAAGTGTTATTTAGCAAGCACATTAGAGTAAAACACATACAGCCTTCCCAATTTATATAAAGAACATTAACATATTAAGTCCACATTTTTATAATGTTAAGGTGAGTCTTTCTAAACATGAAGTCATAAAGAAAAATGTTGAGAGGATTCACCAGAGACAGAGCAGGAAACAGAACAGGCAGACTGACGAAATACACTGCTGAGGGGAGCAGCGGGCGAGACAGGAGAGGTCTGCTGCGCCATGTGGGATTCTCACTGGCCAGCTGGGATGGAACTGGCACTGCAGAGGCTGCGGACAGCTTCACAGCATGGCGCTCAACCACCTGCGCCACAAGGGGAGGCCCAACTATATAAAACTTTAAAAGCTCTATGTGAAAGAGTGGCAAACAAAATACTCCAAAGTCAACAACAAACACAGAAATAAAAATGATTCTGAAGTTACGGTAGAAAAAATTAATTTTGATCATTATTCCCTTTGGGGATATAAAGCCAGCTCTTAATAGCCTTGTAAAATAAATAGTAGCAAGTACAGGTAACCTGGAACCAGAAGAAAGAATGAATATCAATCATTCTTTCAGTTACATGAGCGTGCAGCCAGGAAACAGCACAGGGCCCAAGCTTAGAAGATCCCTCTGTCTGGTTTAATACAATGGCACTGACATCGTGAAACACATAACATTTTCTGAAAAAGGAAACCTGAAGTTTCATTTTGCACTGCCCCCCCGCAAATTATATATATATATATTTAAAATTTATTTATTTATGCATACAAGAACTGGGGTACAGGCCAGAGGTGCGAGGGGTGAGAGACAGAGTGAGGAGAGAACAGGCAGATTGACTGAAATACACTGCTGAAGGGAGCAGCGGGCGAGTCAGGAGAGGTATTCTGTGCCATGTGTGTAGCTCCTTGGCCGGGGATCGAACTTGTACTGCAGTGGCTGTGGACAGCTTCATAGGTTGTGTCTTACCCCCTTGAGCCACCAGGGAGACCCTGCAAATTATATATTAATCCTGTACTCACTGTCCTACTAACTGCCTATCTATAAAGCAGTGAGTTACATACCCAAGAATACCAAGACACTTAAGACGTATCTATAGTCCTAAAAAGTTTATAGTTTAGAAGTAAAGTCTAGTGGTTAAATTATAACAAAACAAAATAGAAAATGAGATCCATGGTGGAGCTATAGCTTCCGAGGAGGTAGAGGTTACTTAAAGGTGGAATGAGGCCAGTACCTATGGAAGAGGCAACTTTTAGTTGGATCTGAAAAGAGAGTGATTGGAGGGCCTCCCCGGTGGCGCAGCGGTTGAGTGCTGGGTTGCGAAGCTGCCCGCGGCCTCTAAGTGCCGGTTCAATCCCCGGCTGCTCCCCGGCCACCCACCGGAGGAGGGTCCCGCATGGCGCGCAGACCTCTCCTGCCGCCCGCTGCTCCCCTCAGCAGTGTACTTCGGTCCTTCTGCCTGCTCTGCTCACCACTCTGGCTCTGCTGAATTCTCTCACCCTCCCGCGCTTCTGACTGTACCCTGTGCTTGTATAAATAAATAAAAAAATCTTAAAAAAAAAAAAAAAAGAGAGAGAGAGTGATTGGATACTGACAACGGGAAAAGGGCAAAAGCAACAGTATGCTGTCTGTAAAGCACAGAGGCAGCCTTGGCATAATTGTTCGGTTGGCCTGGGGCAAGAAGAAACCAGACTGAAAAAAACAGGCTGGGTTGACTATGGGCTGACCGTGAGTACCTGCTAATGAGGCAGTACATAATTCAGTGTGTACTGTGCACCACTGAAGGCTTAGCGAGAGAGAAAATACCAGTGAGTCACAGTTGCCATGTAAGAAGATTAAAGCTGGCTGCAGGCACTGGTGGTCATCTTGTCATCTCTCCAGACTCCCAGCCCAGTACTACATTCACAAATGACATGCACTTGATGTTTTATGGGCTGACCATCAGAGACGGCCAGTGTCTCCCTCTTTCTCATTCAACCAGTTAAATTTCACCTGCTCTGAGCTGACCACCAAGAAATGATCACACACTCTAGAGAACCAATATTTACTGTTTAGGTTTTCGATTGTCAGAGAGCTAATACAAATTTAGGCAGCTCTGAGAATGATAAAAAAATAAAAGAATACCCAGGGTCAATTACAAAGAACAAAATAACAAAAATAGTAATACTTCCATTTCCTGACACAGTGATGCTAGAGAAGTTATTGTTTTAAGAGTTCCATTTATTTGTGAAAAAAAATTATGATGTTGAAATTAACATCCTAAGTATCCAACATGTAGTTACATGAAACAAATAATGGGCTGTCTCTTACAGGTAAGTATTCATGAAGTACCAGCTGGGATCTTTCTTTATTGCTGTATCGTAAGAAATCAATAATTTGCATTGTAAGTAAATGTTTAAAAATGAGTATTCTTTCTTTGTCTCTATCTTTATACTCACACACCTCTCTCAACGTATATAAAAACATATCAATCTATATCTATCCACAAAACACACAACACATACACATATCTACAGGTCACCTGAGTTTGAGTTCCTTGCAAAATATACTAAACTTCAGACACAAATCTTCATCTCCATTTCTCCTAAATGTTTCATCTAATCACATTAAGAAAAAAACCCAGGAACCTCCCGGATGGTGCTGCGGGTTGAGCGCCGTGCTATGAAGCTGTCCACAGCCTCTGCAGCGCGAGTTCGAATCCCGGCCGGCCACACGACGCAGCAGACCTCTCCTGTCTTGCCTAATGCTCCCCTCAGCAGTGTCTTTGGTCTGTCTGCCTGTTCTGCTGCCTGCTCTGTCTCTGGTGAATTCTCTCACCCTCCCGTGCTTCTGATTATACCCCAATTCTTGTATAAATAAATAAATCTTTAAAATAAAAAAAAACAACACCTACTGATAAAGTAATACTTTAAGATATTATTACTTGAAATCAAAGTAGAATTTTATTGTCCCTTTATCAGGAATATGAAGAAAATAACTTAGGTGGCATTTACACAATCAAAGAAATATATTAATTACAAGAAATACCCAAGAAGAAATATTAAATTGCAACTTAAGAAAATTCAGTAGATAACTATTAAGATACATAACTGAAACACAATGTGAATTTCATTTGGGCTCCATTTCTAACATTTCTTCAGCCAAACCAAAAATATACAGTGAGTATAATAACCTAACTTTCAAAAATGCTATCTTAATTGGTGGTATACTCCCCTTTATCTCAGAGAGTCTGTGCATTAACAGTATTTAATGATGGGTCTGTTTGCAAAAGAAAAATGGTACAAAATAACCACTTTTTGAAAAAAGTCATTAGAATTGTCAATAGTCTTTTTAATAATAAATATATAATCTTCTTAAAAATAAGCTTAGAGACAAAAAATAGATGTATTTCAAGGATTATCAATGTATTACTAAGAAATGAAAAACTGATTTACCAATTCCTATACTATATTGGGTTATTACAACAATATTTAATATCAAGAAAAGAAAAGCTTTTGATATTTCAGAATTACAACATCAAATGAATTTAACTTGGGAAATAAAACTCAGGATTAAAGGATAAGAAGCTGCTTCTTGGAACTTTTCCATCTTAGTCATCTGACCTTTAATATGGAACCTCATACAAGAGATGATTCAGTCTTACAGTGTGGGTTGCTTTAAAAGAGGTATCATAAATACATTAACCGATAAATGGTCAAAGATGGATTCAATATCCTTTCTTCTTCAAGCAAATTCTCATTTGTTCCTACCAATTACAATCCTCTAGAAAAGAATGTTGAATCAAAATCGGAAGTTCTGACCTAAGCACCCATCATGAAAATTGGCACCAGAAACATAAAGCAGTCAGTCCGAAGTCTTGCACTTAGATAAATCAGTAAGCTATTAAGACTGAGATAAAGGTAACATCTCTTCCCTGTGCTGCATTTCAGTAAAAAGGGTTGAAAAGACAATAACACTTTCAGAAGTAATAAGGAATGTCTCCTACCTTTTTAAAAATTCCATATACTCGGTATGCTTGATGAGACCTGTCCTCATCATTATTGTTTGAAAACATTGTCGATCAATGGCCCAGAGTTTCACATTTACAAGAGCTGGAGAAAAGGAGAACAAAACAAGCAGGGAAAATTTAATTAGAGAATTTTAACTGTGGACTTTATCCTGCAAAAGAGATGAGTTATTGGTGAAAGGTGTGAAAATGATTAACCTTCATTTAAAGCGAATATCAAGTAATCTTGGTATTAACAGTATTCTTAGAGGCAAAATTTTCCAAACTAATATTATTCTCTAATAAGAAGTTTGCTGTTGTTCTTATGTCCTTAAGGGATAAGAATGCCTAAGTACACACTGAAAGCATTAACTAATTTCAAGACTATATACAAAGGAAATGACAAGTAGAAAAAGAGAAATTCACAGTAATAACACTCCCTGGTAATTACCAGAATGGTGTTAGTGATTCTTATGTTCATATTTTAATTCTAAAAAGTCAAGGTGAAAATTCAATTCTCAGGTTTGGAGGCAAATTTAATAGAATATAAATAATAATTATACAATGACTCCTACACAAAGCTCATTTTACTAATTGTAACCTGTGCCCAAGCTTACCACATGAAGTTATATTAGATGTTTGTTGTATTTTAATTTTTGCCCTTACATACAAGTGTCTTTGACAATGAATAAAGTATTAAAACTGAATATTACATAATTTCACCATTTGATCTAGTAAGACTAAGAGAACTTTCAGAAAGAGACAGATGTCATAGTATAACAGAACAATATATCAGTATTAACAGGTTTTAAATAAGTATATACACTAAAAACCTTGATAATTAAAGCTGTGTGAAGGTTATTTTTATGCATATTTTTATGCATATTTTCAAATTTTCATAATATAAAATATTTTAAATTAGCACATGAGCTAAAAAACAAAACTACATATCATAACCTTGGTATTTAGTGCCTAACAGGGGTGTGTGAGGGTTTGAACAAGAACACCAAGTGGGACCAAGATACAGTTTAACATGCAAACCATAGAAAGGTGGAGGAATAGAATTCTCTCTTCTTCACCAGATGAAGCCAAGACAATGCATTGTAGGGCCTCCCTGGTGGTGCAAGGGGTTAAGCACAACACTGTGAAGCTATCTGCACCCTCTATAGCATGAGTTCAATCCCCTGCTGGCCAGGGAACTACCCACATGGCGCAACAGACTTCTCCTGACTCATCTGCTGCTCCCCTCAGCAGTGCATTTCAGTCAATGTGGCTGTTCTGTTCCCCACTCTGTCTGTCTCTGATGAATCCTCTCACCCCCTAAACCTCTGGCCTACACTCCAGTTTTCATATGCATATATAAATCTTAAAAAAAAAAAAAAAGACAATGCATTGTAGCAAGATCTTAGTGAGAAAGGAGACAAAATGTTAATTAGGACATCTGTGCTTTGAGAGGAAGGGCACAGAGGACTGGGTGGGATGGGGGGAAACAAAGAATATTGTGTTCTAGAGTAAACCCCCATCTTTGAATTTTCCTTGCAAAATAACTTGACATTAAGAAACTAGAAAAGGGCCTCCCGGGTTGTGCAGAGGGTTGACCGCAGTTCTGTGAAGCTGTCCGCAGTATGGGTTCAATTCCCAGCCGGCCAGGGAGATACCCACATGCCTCGCCTGCTGCTACCCTTAGCAATGTCTTCGATCCATCTGCCTGTTCTGCTCCCCACTCTGTCTCTGGTGAATTCTCTCACCCTCCCATGTCTCTGGCCTGTACCCCAGTTCTTGTATAAATAAAAAATAAATCTTAAAAAAAGAAACTAGAAAATGAATTTTCCCTTAGCCAATATCTTATTGAAGAATAAAAGGTGCTCAGTTAAGTAGAAAAAAATAAAAAGCAGCAATGACTGGTGTGTACATGGCTCTGTTCCACATAACCTTTGAAAAGGATACTTCATCAAAAATAAAGCTCATCTCTCAAGTATTCTCCAGCCACATTCTAGTCCCTCTCCTAAACCCAGGCTCTGTTCCAGAACACCTGTTTATCTGAGACAAACCATGAGACTGGATGAAACATTCATAATGGGCTATGAAAATCAGGAAGATTTAGAAGTGGTAGAATCAGAAGTAAACTTTAAAAATCAACGGTGTTTAGCTCAAAGAGATGGCAAAGGGTAATTAAGTGGTGGAAAAGCACATAAACCAGAACACAGCTGAGAATGAGCTTGTGCTGTGGGAGTAAAGCTCAGGAAGAAAACAGAAATGATGAGGTCTCTGTAGGGTAGCAACATAATTTGAGGGAAAACTGATGCACAGTCCAGGAAATTGCATATAAGGCGTAAGTAGCAAAGATTAATCTGATGAACAGAAAACTATTAGAGATCTTTAAAAACACACATATACACAAAATAATAAACCATAATTTTAAAGGCTACACAGTGGGTATATCAAAATAACTGTAAATGCTTACAGAAAGAATATCAAAATTTTCTGCAATTACCATCATTATTTTTTTTAAGATTTATTTATTTATTTATACAAGAACCGAGGTACAGGCCAGATGCGCAGGAGGGTGAGAGGATTCACCAGAGACAGAGCGGGGAACAGAACAGGCAGACTGAAGAAATACACTGCTGAGGGGAGCAGCGGGCGAGACAGGAGAGGTCTGCTGCGCCATGTGGGACCCTCGCTGGCCAGCCGGGATCAAACCGGCGCTGCAGAGGCTGCGGACAGCTTCACAGTGCGGCACTCAACCTCCTGCGCCGCCACGGGTGGCCCGAAACTGTAAATCTTAAATGAGCACCATAATATCTGAATATTTTGGACATTTGTGCATAAAACTCTGTGATAAATGGATTGGGAATTCCTTGAAGGACTTGGGAAGTTGGACTCCGTGTATTAGCTGTCAGCCTCTCTGTAAACTACCAAACTGGATCTTTGCGTGTGCCCAATTAGGCACATCACGAGAACTGTGTTTACATCATGGAGTTTTACTTGAGATGTCTATCAAAGCAGTCAGTGGGATAGGCACCCCAAAACACCTAGCTCTGGTAATGGTGGAGCGCTGGGATTTTATAGGGGGTGAGAGAATGTAAGGGAAGTTGGGGCCTCACATTTCCGGGGTTCGGGGCAGTCGAGGTGTTTGTCTTCCCAACGGGGTGTTTTTGTCAGCAATCAGCAAATGTTTGCTGGATTCAGAGACACCCCAGTTAAGTAGAATATACACCTATACACCACTGGTGCCAAAAACAATGTATGTAATAACTTTAGGACAGAGTAGTTATATGAGGAAGCTTTGGGAGGAAAATTGTTCTATACTATGTCATGTGCACAGTTTCAAACCAGGAGCAATGACCACCAAGCAGAGCTACAAGTAAATCAGGAGTTAAGTAAGGAGGGTCTCAGTAAACATGGTAGCAATGGGAAGAAGAGCAATGGCATGGCAGGTGAATGTGTAGTGGGGGTGTAGGTGTGTGTGTGGGGGGGGTAACCAAGTCATTGCAAAATTTAAGTCTGAGTCCACTCTTTAAGGCCAGGTTCTGTACTTGGTCCCTCTTGATAACTAACTTCTTTGTCCTCTGAACTATTAAATTTCTTTCTCTGTGTCACTCACTGGCACTTGTCATATATCACCAATATTATTAATTATCTCTGATCCATCACTATCATGTTTCTTCAAATAAGTTTGCACCTTCTCTCAGAGAAAAGTCCCTGAGAGTTTAAATTTTCATTTGATAAACAATGGGAATACTTGTTTTATGAAATTTATGTACAGGAAATATACCTGCAAAAACAAAATGTAATCTAGGTAGACTCTAATGTTACTTTAAAATATCTAAACTGAATTTAACGTATCATAAACCATATACTGAAAAAAAAATCTATAAAATAAGTTTACAGAATGCAATACTTTTGATTTCTGTTTACTTGGGGCTACTGAAAAGTCTGTAAGTGAAAGTTGCCTAGGATATTCTGCATGATAATGAATCTAGCTTGATGAGTTTGCAAATGTGTCCATAACCTTGGGCAAGATACCAAAACCATTTTTATATTCAGCTAATATATGTATTAGTATAGTCAGCATTTTACAGGTGAGCAAGCATGACTAATAATCATGCTGCCTGGTTATCAAAAACATGGTATATTAGAGCTGTGATTAACAACTTGCTTCTTGAACAGCCTGTTGGAGGGAAATAGGCTGCTTCCATAACCTGAAAAGACTATTAAAAAAAAAAAAACTCCATTTACCTTTGATCTGAAATGGTGTATTTATCTCTGTAGGAAATAATAAACACTTACCAAATAAAATTCCTGTGATTTTCACATGATTACTGTTGTTGAACATTAAGTCTGAAGAACGTAAAGCAAGAGTGTGTTGGGAATGGATTTTCCTTTACGTTCAAGTACATATCTTAAAATTCTCTGCTGAAGTGTACTTCGGTCCTTCTGCCTGCTCTGCTCCCTGCTCTGGCTCTGGTGAATTCTCTCACCCTCCCGCGCTTCTGACTGTGCCCAGTGCATGTATAAACAAAACAAGCAAATAAATAAATAAATAAATAAACATGCCTCTATAAAAAATAAAAATAAAAAAAAAAAAAAAAAAAAAAAAAAAATTCTCTGCTGAAACATTTATCATGTTTTTAGGTTAAAGGAACATTTAACTGAGATCTCTAACTGCATGAAAAAACCACAAAATTGTATTAGCTAGAGACCACAAATGGGGGTTTAGCTTAAATTCTCTTACTGTGGAATTCTTCTGCTAACTCAAAGTTTGGAATGAAGAAATCAATGTGGGTGCAAAGAACTTAAAGTCTCAGATATTTATTTTACATCATATTTATTCTACATCAACACAGTCAACAGTGGTGCTATATATGAGATAGAAAAAAACTGCAATTCTTGTACTCAGAGGCTGGCAAATTCTCATCCATGCAAAAAATCCATGTACTCAGAGGCTGGCAAATTCTCATCCATGCAAAAAACGACCCCTGGTTAGATTTTAGATAGCCCACTAGCTGAGAATAGGCCTTGTATTTTTTAATGGTTGAAAATTTAAAATATGAGCAATATGAAACAAATTTTAGTGTCCATAAATATCTGACTGGAACACAA